TTCGCATCCAAGGAGACCAAAGAATAGACAAAGCTTGATTGATTTGGAATTTAAGGTTTCAGAGATAATTTCACCGGAGAATAAATGGAGAGCTAATGTGATACACGAGTTATTTCCAACTGATGATGTAGCTAAGGTCTTAGAGTTACAAATTGGTGGTGCAGCCGATAAACATATATGGGCTTACACGGATCACGGTTCATATTCAGTCAAAAGTGGTTATTGGTTTGCTGCAAACCACCCCGTAATACCATTACCACCTCCAAATCCGATGATGCAAACTCGCATACGGCTAAAACAAAGAGTCTGGCATATCAGAGCTCCTCTCAAAATCCGTATGTTTTTATGGCGAGTCATTGCAAGAGCACTCGCAGTGGCTGAGCGATTAAATTCTAGAGGTCTTTATGTGAATCCTCTGTATAGATTGTGTGACAATGATACGGAGTCAGTTAATCATGTTTTATTTGGATGCTCTATTGCTCAAGAGGTTTGGAAATTATCAACAGTCAACATTCCGGGATCAGGGTTTGGAGATATGTTTGAACACAATATGGAGAGTGTTTTTACTCTGATGGAAAATACGGGCCAAAGGGACGAGATCAACGAGACAATTCCATGGTTATTATGGAATATTTGGAAGAATGGGAACTCCATTCTCATTGCAGGAAATCAAAACCCTCTCCCCTCCGTGGTTAATGGAGCATTTGAGGAAGCTAAGTGCTGGTTGGAAGTTAATAAGGGAGAGGAAGTAAGGTCGGGTACTAATGTCAGTGCTCGAGACCGTGAGTTAAGATAGTAGAAACCATTACAAAAAATTGTCAAATGTAATGTTAATGGTAATTGGAGAAACGCACAACTACATTGCGGTAGATCCTGGATTGCAAGGGATCACTTCGACTCTATTTTGTATCATTTTAGGGAAGTTTTGACAAGATCACGAAATAGGATCATCGCAAAGATTAGGTGTTTAATTTGGGCTATAAAGAGTATTTGCAACCTACAACTTAAGGATGTGGTAATAACTTCAGATTGTGTTGTTGCGTATGAGGCGGTGATGAAACCCACAGATTGGCCTAGATACAGAGTGTTTACCGAACACATACATCGACTTCAGCCTGGTTTTAATAGTTGCTCTTTCAAACTTGAATCTCAAGGGACAAATGTGGTTACACGAAAGATCGCTCAAAGTGTGACACAAGATGGAAGATTTAATTCTTATCTTGCCGCAGGAGGTCCGTCATGGTTGCAAGACTTGCTTATTCAAGAAGCAAGATGATAACATCATAATTTCCTTGTCATTGGAAATCGATGCTACGTGTTTTCTTTTTTATTATTGGTTTTGTTGAATTTTTGTTGTGCTTCTGAACTTATTCTGTATCAAATAATACAACTCTAGACGTTTTAAAAAAAAAAATGTTAAATAAAGTAAATCTTAAAATTGTTACCCAACATATTCGAGTTCTGAGTTTGAATGAAAATATATCTTTACTTTAATGTTTTTCGCTATATAGATTTCAAATATTTACAAGATTTCAATCGCATAACTTTCGATATTGAGAATCTACTACAAGTCTTTAGTAAACCATCAGATAATTCCTTTCACAAATCAAATGAAAACCGACCAAAAAGAATGTTAAATGGATAAAATAAGGTGTCGTGCCTTGATTGGTTCATATAAAACTATTATCGTGTTCCTGAACACACCGTATCATATCCGAGTTACGCCTCAAACCTCCTGTGTGGTCGTTCTTAAACAAAATCAAAAGCTCTCAAGGGATTTTGAAGATAAGAGAAGAAGCGATTACAAATAAAAAAATGCTTCTTCAACTCTGCTCCACTTTCCGTCCTCAATTTCTTCGTCTTCCTTTTCGTCAATCCCAATTTACAGATGCAGTTTTGGTTCGGTACGTTCTCAAAAACTATATCACTACTCACTTGGTTGAAAATTTCTTAGTTATTACAGTTTTCGAACATCTCTTGTTAGTTTTGTTCTTTTGGGTTTTGTCGATTGGTCTAGTTGAAGCCAAAGTCGAAATCTTTTGCAGAATTCCCAAATTCAGTTTTGGTAATTTGGTGAATTAGCGGATTGGTTTGGTTTATGTCTCTGTGTGTGTGTCTTTATTGAAGAAAAAAGCCAATTCTTCTGGTTTTTGTTTCGAAATTACAAAAGTTGAGTTTAGTAATTAGGATTGGTTCGAAAGTTTTATGAACAAGGGAAAACAAAAAAATCCAATCTTGTAGCTAAAGTGTTTTGTTTGTGTCTTTTGTGACAAACAGGCAAGTAAACTTCTTTGGTGGAAGTAATTCAGTCCGGCCAGTGATACGTTGCCAGAGAGTTAGCGGAGGTCGAGGAGGCGCTAATCGAAGCAAACCCGCAAAGCCGCCTGTTAAAGAAGGGAGTAACAAGACAGTAATCGAAGGTTTAGTAACCGAATCACTTCCCAATGGGATGTTTCGAGTCGATTTGGAGAATGGGGTTAACATTCTTGGTTACATTTGTGGTAAGATTAGGAAGAACTTCATACGTATTCTCCCCGGGGATAAAGTGAAAGTCGAAATGAGTGTTTACGATTCAACAAAAGGTCGTATCATTTTCAGAATGAGTAGTAGAGACTAAACAAAAAGAACCGAAAGTGTTTCCGAGTTCCTGTCAATTCTTTTATAAGTTTTAGGCAAGTTTGATGGGAGCAAAATCATGTAATCGTACAGCAGATTTCTCTACTACGTATTTCGGGTGTTTCTTCCCTTGAATCGCATTGGGGTTCTTCTTCTCTTATAATCATCATAAGCTCAAAAACGTCTCTATGTTTCTATTGACTATGTTTAGGTTCTTGTTGGTATAGCAAGTAAAGGTTTTTTGATCTCCAAGTTAGTTTCTTTTTGATATACTTTCTGTGAACTAGAAACAGTTGTATCATGTAACAAAAGCTTGGATTTTCCAATTACTTAACTGGCTTCATCTCATATTGTCGGGTTTAAAGGATTTGAAATATGATTTTTTGCGGTTTTTATATTATATATATATTGATGACATTTCGATGAGTATTGCAAGATGAAATCTTTGTTGATTTTCTATCGTTTTATGGGACCAAGGATAAAGAAATTATTACGAGTGACTGACAAACGCAGGAATGAACTAGTAAAGATTTTAGATGTTTTAATTTGGAATGTGAATACAAACCGACCTTAGCTCAGTTGGTAGAGCGGAAGACTGTAGTGGTTGCTGTAATCTTTAGGTCGCTGGTTCGATTCCGGCAGGTCGGAATTTTTTAGTCTTTTTTTTTTGGGGTTAAAATTTTTCCGAATTTAGTTGTGATTGGGTCAAAGTATGAATATTGAAGTTAAATCCTTTAAAAGTAAATTAAATTTTGATACACACAAGGCTGTAAGCAATCTTTAGAAAAAAAAAAGCAATAAGTCAATTTTGTTTTTTTTTGTTTTCTCCAAGGGAAGTACAATTAGTAAAAAAGTTTAGTTGTTTTAATTTTATTGGTAAAAAATTATGACATGTCTTGAAAAAAAGATGATATGTCTTTAAGTAAAAAATATTAATCATTTAACACAA